ACGATATCATTGATTGAACGATCTAACTAGGCCTACCCTTGCATCGCAGTAATACTGAACTAGGCCTAGCTTAGGCCTCATGTTTTTGTGAAAAGCTAGATAGTCGTTATGTACCCGACAGTCGGCTGCCTTTATATTTTCACCTGTTTTCAGTTTGCATTCAAAGGGTACATTGCTGCACAACCAACTGTCGGGGATATAGTACCTTCATATGACTATTTATACGTATACAACAGAAAAAAACGTCGCATGGACTAAGTGAAAAATGGAGATCTAAATGAAGAAACGATGTATTTCAGCAAGTATTAAAACATTTTAGTTTTATTTTAGGCCTTCTTCAAAATACCTATGCCTACAGCAAATGATTTTTTTGCCGTAAAACCAAAATAGTTTCATCCATGCCGACATTCCGGTCGGTTAGCGTGAGCCCTGACTGAACTCTGCATCGATCTTCGCATCGATCTTCGCATCGCGATGTAAAACAAAATGTCGGAAAACTTTTCTTTGACGCATGCGCATTTGCATAAATGTCTACACACACATACACACTACACACAATAAAAAACATAGGAAATAGCAAGAGTGATTACAATAGTTCCTATTGCATTACATGCATAGGAACTAAAAAGGAATCTGCAAGTTTGGCAAAAATTGCCCAACCTGGTTTCAAACCCGCAACATCCTAGTGTCTATTCAGCTGGTTGAGAGGTTGAATCCCAGTGAGGGTATATTTTTTTTTTGCACTTGCAGATTCTTCATTACTGTTTGAAATTTATATTATGTATAAAGCATTACCGCTAGACGATTTAGAGTTTATCACTTCACGTATAATAATAATGATAATAATAATAACAATAATAAATAAATATATATATATATATACATATATATATATATATATACATATTCAATTAAATTCAAACGTACGCTATTGCTTTGATATGCCATTAGCTTCTAAAATGACCTTAACTGGACATAACATTTATATTTACAATAATACCATTATCAGTACGTATTTGCAAAATTTTGACAACTTATTAGGCCTACATATGGAGTATTTGCTCTGTAAGAGAAGATATGATAGAGTCACTAGTTAATATGTAATGAATGAAATTTACAGTCTTATGTCATCTACTTGGTTTGGGTTTGCACTCTTACGTATGCTTTTGGTCTTATGTATGTTGGTCTGTCCAACATTCAGCACCTCTTTTGAATTTTACGCTAAGAAAATTTTGCATATCTCTCACGTTATTATTGAAGGAGTAGTCCATTGATGTTCAGTTTATCAATGCCATGAGTCCAAATACACTCCCATAAGTGATGACCTTTTCCTACTGCACCACACCACCTTTGCCTTTCCAGTAAAATGTGTATCCAGGATTCAAATCTCAGATTTGGTCCTTGCTTGACAATCTTGTTTCTGAGAGACCCGCTATTCTTATGTGATTAGTTTACTCTCCATCTTTATTTTGATCTCTCTCCCTTCTTACTACCTGTCTCTCTCTCACCCCCTCTCTATTGTCTTAATTCTTGTAATGTGCCGCAGGCCAACTGTATTTTATTTCTGTTCATCTTCTCTATATTTTTGACTTGTTTTCTGATATAGATTCCTCATGTTGTGTTTTTATTATATTGAGCATTTTCTTTAATGTATTTACGTGGAATAAAACAGGAGAGCAGTAGTTTATGTGGAGTTACAAAAAATATGAACAGTAACAATAACAGGTCAATGCAACACCAGCATAAGATTCTCTTTTTAATTTTTACTGCAGTTGTCAGTATCTGTACATAAAATACCCCTTTGACCAACTACTGGCTAAACATGACGTCCACCACCTAAATGAATAATATTAGAAACATAGAGTATATTTAATTATTTACAAGTCCATAAACCTATAAAAAAAATCTATTGGTATAATCTACAATTAAATCGTAATAAAAATGTACATATTTAATGACAGTATCTAAATAAGAATTCAATCTAGTAACAAATGCTAACCATAAAATTCTTTTGTTGTCCAATTGCATAATTGTATGCCATGCTAGCAAGACCACTAATTGCATTGTTCACAAAACCAAAAACAAAATCTCAGATTGTGCATCATTTTAATCAGAAAATATAATTGAAAATAAATGAGGAAAAGTAACAATACAAAATTAAAGTAGTTAATTTTAGACACACAGATTCCCACTGTATTTTTTTTTTTAACTTTCTAGTCCTATTTGTGGCACCATTAACTAATACAAAATGAAGTTTGTATACAATCTATTGCACGATTACAAATTCAATGGAATGGTGTAACACTATATTTGAATGTGTTCAAACCACCAATAGCAAACCGTTTTTTATATACAAAGAGCACCTACAACCACCTGTGCTATGATAATATCTACTTTATTAAAATGTCCTACATTTGTCAAAAGCAATAAAATTACTCACCATGATTTTCATACGATTTTTTTAAATGTTTAATCAATTCAGCACTACTTTATAATGTCTCCTACGATGAAATATCAAGTTTTTCTAACATTACTTGTAAAATTAGTATTCAATTTACATAGCATTAAAACATGCTGTAATAAAATAACATATTTTGTATTTAATTACAGTTATTATTTATAAAATTGATAAAAGGAATAGGCTTATGATACAATTGTGATTATCAATTATAATGTTTGACCAGCCTTAGGGCCAGTTTATCTTTCTGTGCAATTTTTTATTCTGTAAAAGGAAAGATCCCAAAATAGTTATATAGATAAGTTCAAAATAATTCAAGCTGTAATTTAGTCATCATTTTTTTAGCCCTGTGGTTACAATTTCATGTGCCAAAATGAACAACACATGGGGAGAGAGGTGGTTGACAATGATCCCTAAAACCATATGGTCAAAAAAGGCTGACCGACTGACCCTGTTGTCTGAATGATACTGTCTGGGCAACACATAGTTTTTAATGTTTTGGCCTAAATGACTGAAATGATTAAGATGCTGCTGATTTTGATTACCATGTAATGGTGGTGGTGATAATATTGATTATGACTGTAAATAATGAGGGAGGTGATGAATGTGGTGGTGCATGGTAATGATGGTGACAATTATAATTTTAATGAGGCTGATGATTATGGTGATAATCACATTGGATTATGATGATATTGGTAATAATCTCAAGCAATTGCATCTTGTTTTCAGAGATAATTGGAATTATATATAATTCAAATTAAATCACTGTACTCGTTATTACATAATTGTCAATCAAAACTACAAGAGCACCAAAAAAGGTAGACTGACAGTAAAAATAGTACCACCAACTATTACATGGTAAAGGCCTACCACTACTTGTCTCAATGATAAATACACCATAAATATGTGTTAGCAAACAATTGTTACTTTAATTTACATGGAAATATTCTATAGTTTATATCCTCTGTTAATGCACTGACTCAAGGTGAAATAAATATTGACCAGAATGTTGCAGCATTCAACTGCTTTATTTGCATATTAATTATATTAATTATAATACCTTGCATAATTAATGAGTCCATATTTCTGTCAGAGAACCATTGTATTTTAATCCATTCTACTATGCAGTGTTCACACTGCGAGACTGAACTAATTTTTCCTCACATATACAGTATAGAGTACCACAGTCGTGTCGTCACAACGCCAGGTAGCACCCTCTGTTGCCAACCAGATGTTAGTTACCGTTTATTACGCCTGAATGACTTCATATGCTTTCTGGAATAGGCATTTTAAAATCTAATATTTTACCATCAAAATGTAGTAAAAACACAAAAGCCCACATTATATTAGTTATCGAACACACATTTAATCATCAATTAAAATTTACAAAGAAAAACTAAGATACAACATCTTAATAATTACGTTAGAAAGGGGTTAGAAATTGGGATCAATGGTTTGTCAGTGGGGAAAATAGCATCCGGTTGAATGCATTTTGCAACAATAGCAATGGAGTAGTATCACATGGTATCGTGACGTAACACTGTAGTACTCTATTTTGAATTGAGAACTACCACGTAGAAAAAGTGAATAAAACACTCTAGAATACAAGAATGAGAGCTCTGCATCAGGACAACTAATGAGAGCACTGCATAAGGACAACCAATGAGAATGCTAATAACCAACTTCAGATTTTGGATGAATAACTTAGACTGGTATCTTTCCTTGCTTTGGTTCATATTGTGATTCCTGAATGATCAGCATAGGGAATGATGTTGTTGTTAGCAACCATGTTCTGGTCGTCTTCATTTGTCTCAAATAAATGTAGATGACTCCAGAATATTCGAGTCTGAGCCACTTTTATGAATTTCTACAGCACTGTTGGAAAAAATAAGGGTAGGTCTTAGAATGATAAAGAAATAATAAAATGTGCAGCGGTAAAATAAAATACGCAATAAGAAAATAATACAAGCAGAGGATATGAAGTAAAAGCAGAAAAAGGAATATATGCATTAAAGAAGAAAGTTAAATTTTAAAAAGAGGACTATATGATATAGAGAAGAAATACAAATTGAAGGAAAACATAGAAAAAGAAGTTTAAATAGCGAAGAAGAGTTGAAAGAAAATTACATTAGTATAAATTTAGTTTGCAATCCTGATTATCTGTACCCTTTAGTTTCCCAAGTGAATCATAAGTCACTTCTAATAGGAGAGCATCTATTAAGAGCTTAGTTTAACCTTAAAATGATTCCAAAATTATAATTAAGCTGTGTCATTATTTTGTTCATTTATAAATTGCTTATGTTTTCTGAGAAAAATAAGGTTTTGAAAATTTATAATTTATGGTTCTCGAAAAATGTTATAATAAAAAAAAATATGGAAATTTTGGTGACCCACATGGTTTATGATCCAACGAATACAAACCCCTGCATATTAATGACAAATAAGTAGACTGTTGTAAAGGGTTGGATTCTACTAAATGCCAACACATCACTCCAATGATATAAAACGTCCTTTGATGACACCAACTTTATCTACCTCCTATCTCATGCTTCGCAATAATCTTAGTAATTTGTAATAAAACATTTGTCACACTTTATAAATGACCCATAGGGTCATTCTCACAATGTATAGAAAAGCGACTATGAGGGCTATGATTATGCCACACCCCTTTGCGTTCCCAATCCAACTCAAATAACCATGCCACAAACTTGATTAGTCTACGTTAATAATCGTAATTCAATATTTTAAGCGTTAAATACTTTTATTATGTCATTAATAAATCAGAGGTTGTACTTATATTTAGTAATTTACTTTCTGTTTGAAATAATATTTTTATAATGCTGAGAAAATAATATGCATGAGAAACATTACCCAAAAACATTTTTCCTGGCTCGTTTCACATGTGTAGGAACTGGAGGTGGCATCCGCTATATATGCAGCAACGAAACAGACACAAAAACAAAGGCAAAAGTATTAGACAAAATTGACAAAAAAAATATAATGCTATATATATCTTGAATAATTAATTCTCAAAAGTGACAGCATTAATGAGAATTTTAAAATTGAAACAATCAGAATCCCTCAAATTAGATGCTAATTTTGTTATACTAAATTAAAATAAACTAAGTATACACGCATTTATACTCAAGTATATATAAATAAATATAAAAACTTAGTTATTATTATTATTATTATTATTAAGATACAGTACTAATAAACTTCGACCTGATTTAACCCAGTATCCTGCAGAAATGAAGTGTACCCAGGTTGTAGTTCGAAAACTATGTCCATGTTTTTGTGACAAATATCTGTAATTTTCCAATATATACCATTTTATCGGCTCTACTTTGAAACAGCGCCAGAAACGTCTCGCAACATTTCATTGAAAGACATCCAGCAGCCCAGCCTGAGCAAATTTCTTTTTTCCACACACATATCTTCTTTTGAGCACAACCAAAAGCACTGAAGGCTTTATGCATCCCTATTTTTGTTTTTTGGTTTTTGCATTTTGTTTTCAAACTCTAGCCTAGGACTCTACAACAAGATTGTGCACCAGTCACACAGAACAGATAAACTTAGGCTTAAACTAAAGCCTCCGGGATGTCCCCCAGTGGTAGTTGCCAGGTTTTCGGAAATTTTCATTTCCAAAATTTAGCAAAAATGGTGTATAGGCATGGTAATTTTTTTTTTTATTAATTATTAATTCTAATTGCACCAAGGATTAACTGCAATAAATTAAACATTTTTATCTATAAAACTATAATTCTGAATCTGTGTATATATTTCTTTAATTCTGAAATTTTTTTATTAAGTAATAATATTTATTGAAATTGTAAGTTTTACACTTAAATTGTATATATGCTCTTTTAAAATTTTTTTGAATGTCCTGATGTTTTTGTGATTTTTGATGTTCGCTATCAAATGACAAATAATGTAATATCCAATCTTTCTTTTTGGTTGCAATAAAGATTATTGGTGATCTGCTTTGTTATTGTCAGAGATCATCTTCTTTTTCTTATTCTACCTTTCCTTCCATTTTTGTCAAATTTCACTTTTTCACTAAATTAGAGCACGTTTCAGGCCATTTTAAGCATTTCAAAATGTTTTGAAATTTTCCATAACGCACGCGCATTTTTATGTGCACAGCACATACATATGGGGCATGCCCCCGGACCCCCTACGACAGTGTTGTCTCAATCGGCCCAACTTCCGGCCNNCCACTGAAACCATGAATATTTTAAATCAGTTATAGCTCCTTAGGATGAAAGGTGACCCCCAATTTTTATTACATATTCTGAAATCACATGAGTTGTAGATATGATTTTATAGATCATTATGGCTGATCGGACATTGTGTCGTCATTGCCATCTGAATTAAAAAACCTGAATTTTTATGTGATAAATATTTTGAATGATAGTAAGTCCCTCACTAACAGGCGTTTGTCAATGAGAGTTGATACATACAGTATATCTTATATCAGGAGTCAACATTTTGTGACACTACTATGCGCACGTGCATCAAGACGTACGCGTACGCATGAGTAAATCTTTTAAAATGCTCCAAATTCTTTTTAAAAAAAATGAAGTGTATACTTTAGGCCATTTTCAGCATTTAAAATTGTTCAATCTGCACCGCGCACACTTCCTCGAAGGTCAAAGTGCGGCGGATCACCTAACTCGTCCTCAGTGACGAGTTCAAATCTAGTTTGAATTTGACTTTCTATAATCAAATTGCAAATACTTTGATTTCTTATCAATATCAAATTAGTAATTTTTTTCTCCACTTAGCAAAGTATACTTATTGTACATTGTACTTTTAGAATAGTACTTCAAGAAAATCAGGAATTTTCTGGAAAAAAAAAATTCACATATGTTTGCATAAAGCATAAAAAAATGTATAAATAATTTTATTGTTATTCATACTAAAGTAAAAGTCAACCAATCAAACTTCAGTGATCAAACTATGCTTATTGTATGATTAAAAAAAAAAAAAAATGTATTTCTTTATCATAAGCCCACCACCTATTGAACACAAAGTTGGGCTGATTTTGGGCAGTGTGCTTATACCCGGGGATCCCATACACCACAATTCCAAGCAAATCATCTAAGCTAGTCATTCAAACCATACCCTGGGCTTTCTCCTGGGAAAAGACTGGTACCTGTACATAAAACTGGATGTAAAGTAGGGGATGGGCTTATACCCGAGGTCAGCCTATACCCTGAGGAGCTATGGGAAATATATTCCAAGAAAAAATATTTTTTGTACGTACGAATTGGTCAAAATCTACTGTTGACAAAGGTCTGTGTTGAATTTTCGGAGAAGTCTCAGGTGTGAACGACCTGTGGTGTTCCATGTGCACGCTCTTAGGTCGCATCATCGGGGAGGACACTAATACACCTGTTGATACACTCCTCTTTTTCGGTATACTTTCAGTTGATCCCCACGTTCGTAGAGCTCTGAAGGATGCCCTCAATGTATTAAACTTTGATCGTTTCTCTGGTTCAAACTTCTCTAGATGACCCATTTGAATGTTGGGAAGAACACCTATTTGAACAAAAAAATGAAATGTATCAAAATATATCAGTGTTAAATTATTATATTTTTTAAAGGTTACTTAAAAAAACAAACCCAAAAGGATACTTACTGGTTTGAAAACTATTTAGGAATATTAAAACGTTAAATAGAGGTACCAGACTTTAATTGACTAAGACTACAACAAGTAACCAACAAAAATTACCCAATCCTCCATAGGCACTTTGAATGTTAAAATTAGAATAGTTATGCATCACTGTGATTGAATGCACCATTGACTTTATTAACACATATATTTTTTTCCTCAAACACATACACAACCCATAAATCTAAGACCAAAATGCTAACACCAGATTATATTATGTGAAATATATATACATACAGTATGTATTTATATATATATATATATATATATATATTTTCAAACATACACACAACCCATAAATCTAAGACCAAATACTAAGAAAAGTGTACACCAGGTTTACCAGAAAAACGATTAAGAAATATACACAAAAAGATTAATGTATAATTTAATTTACCTTTGATTTTTTAACCCCTTGTAAATAAATCATATTTGTTCTAATAAAAAATGAAGGATAGCTAAGGTAGTATCTGAAAAGTTGAAGGTATGCACTATATTTTGTCTGGTTAAAACAAACTCTAAAAAAAAATGTTATAAATAGTTAATGAAACTGCTCATTTACAGATAGATGCTAGGTGGTCAAATGATATCCTATTACAATAAAAAATGCTATTTCGTAGTCACTTTAAGTGACTAAGAAGTTTGTCATTTTATCTGGTGTTACTAACACCAGATAATGACAAACTTCTTCTTAACACACATTCTGTCAATTTACAGAGATTAGATTTTGTATATATCAATACTTGAGTACTGTAAATGTAAAAAAAAATAAGCAATTATCTTTTTACACCTAAAAATTATTCCCCCAGATCTTTATACAAATGAATACTGGTATATGGTAAATAAGTATTGAAAAAAGTACACAGGATTAATTTAACCAAATCATTAACATTAAATAATAATAAAAATAATTAGAAACTCTGCTTAGATCAGCAACCCACAATATGTCAGGTTTTTGATTTGAATAAAAATACAATTAGTATAGAAAAAGGTATAAAATTAAGAAATGGGAATAATTGATGGGATTGCAACAAATGCTGGCGTGTCAATAATTGTTGAAGGTTGCAATAATTGCTGGGGTTGCAATAATTGCTAGGCTGGGGTTGCAGTAATTTCTTGAGGTAGGTTGCAATAAAAAAAAAGCATGATAAAACAAAAAGGAAATAGGTGTTGAAACAGACTTACCTGAGGAGGGAACTTTCAAAGTTTCTAAAAGAGAAAGGCAATGAAATGGATAACAATTAGCTAATGTGGAAGGTGCATTTTACATGCAAATTAGATGCAAATAAATCAAAAGAATATATAAAGTATAAGTAAATAAATAGATTATTAAATAAAAAAAAGGTTTATGTGGTATAAAGGTTAGTATAAAGTAACAAAAAAGGGTTAACAAAACAGAACTGTGCTTTTTGTCATTACAATATTATTCAACTTTGATATTTAAATTATTATAATTTATTTTAAAATGAAGTTTTGGTATAAACTTTTTCAGGAATAACTGGTATTTAACTGAGTGTATTAATGGTATAAATTTTTGCAGTAAATTAAACTGGTATTTAACTAAGTTATTTTCTAAATAAAAACCAGTTTATCTAACATA